GAGCGGTTTCGACGCATCTAGTTACGTCATAAAAGCGGACGAAAGCGAGTTGCATTTTGACCATTCGATTTTGACAAAATCGATTTCGCAGTAGCAACGGTCGCGCCATCGGCCACCACAGCGCAGCAGTGACGTCGAGATTTTAGCGGGCCGCGGAAATATCGCATGGGGCGCGTTGCCAGGGGCGCTAAAATATGTGCTTAATATTTACTCCAGACCGCACGGCGAAACGTATGGCTGCCAGGCATAACAAATTTCATTATTAAGGACACTGACGACCGAATGGCCTGCCTTTTGATAGGAATATTGCCAGCGGATATTGTCACGATGTGATTGAAAGCGCAAGATAGATATTTAGCGAGCAACCGCGAAATTTCTCTCTGTTTATATTTGTGCAATTCTATAAAATCATATGATAGCATTTTGATTAAAAACGCTGCGAAGAGACTATCTTTTAATTGAGATAGAAATATTCGTTGTTAGAATCAAACGGCATTTGTATTTCTCTTTGACGCATTGTGCAAGCGCAATATCTTTAATTAACCAAGTGAGTTGAATTTATATAGGGATATCCTTCCTTGACTGGTCCTTCGCCGAGGCATCTATTCCATCGCCGGTCATTCGATTCATATAAACCGGAAACCGAATTGCTATTTGATCGTGGAAATCGATATGCGGGATGATGCCATCAATATGAGATCACCATCCAATAGGGTATGATAATCGAATGGCGGTATACGCGAGAACTATGGAAATGAAATTTTGACACGTGTAAATATTACCACGGTATGTAACGCCGGTATATATTTGGATCTCGATTTGTGGACTGCACATATTTGAAACACAAAAATCAAGAGCAGAATGATTTACTCTGTATAATATCGCTACGAAAATGGACGGCTAATTAAATAACGGATCGTAATAATAGTCTTTTATTAATAACTGAATTAATAATAGAAGTAATAGAAGCGGAAGCGTTGTTTTGCATTCAGTAAAAAGCGTTCATTTAACATGCAATTCGTATAAATTGTTCCGAAATTGCCCGAGACTCGTTGCCGTTGCAAATTCTAATATGAGCTAATGCCATAATATTTCCATTTTTTTATTTGGAACGCAAAAATTGCTAATTTTTTATCCGTTCCTTTAGCGTCTGAGAGTAAAGACTTTCTTATTTAAACTTAATATAGATATATATACATATATAAGCGGCATAAATATTTAATTCAAATAAATATGCAGTTGATGCGCATAAAACTGCCTGTCGATTCTGATACTTGCGACTGGAAAATCATATTTCTGCTTTTAACACGGATATCGACGTAAACATGCGCGCATTAATATATAATTTGTATAATAGCGACGGTAATTATATCAAAAGCTTATTTCGCGAATCCATATCTAAATCTCGTAAAGCGGAAAAGAGGAGCGCGTATGAAATATAAAATGTATGAGAATATTAGCCTGTTTAAACTTTTTTTTTTCGATATTCGCGAAATGTCCCCAATGTCGATTATTCCCTCGATATGTGTACGAGCAATTATTACAAATGGCAGCAATGCGCATATCTTCTAATATCGATCGATACTTATCCGATTACATTGCATCGCGCTGAAAACTAATTTCACGCGTGGCATTACTATTACGCT